CCCTCCCTACCTCCTTTGCTTCAGGGACCATGCCGTGCCAGCATCTGGCTACATCCCCCACCTGTGCTCTGGCTAGACTAGAGAGTAGAGGGGCAGGACCAGCCTTGCTGTCTGAAACAGAGCGCAGCCCAGCCCAGGGCTGAAAAGCATGCTGGGGGACTATGATTTAATTTAAACCAGGAAGAGGTCTGGAGCTGAAGTTCCATAAACCAGTCTGACCCAAATCAGTTAAGTCTGGTACTATATTCAGCCAGGCTTATCTTAAACCGGTTTCAACCATTTTGAAACTGGTTTATGTGTACTGAATGTTTGTTCTGTTACAGGCTTAAGCCAGTTTCTGATCACTTAAACCAGTTTATGTATAACTTCTGTCTCTAGCCTAGGAGCATTTCCTTGTGAACCAGGTTATGCACAGTTGATGGTATTCGCTTGTTTTTACACGTAGATCGTTCATGGCTTCAGGAGAAGGTAAAAATTGAAAAACTCCAACAGAAGATTCAACTAGCCCTTCAGCACGTCCTGCAGAAGAATCATCGAGAAGATGGAATCTTAACAAAGGTGAGAACCATTAACTGTGCCATGTCCTGGTTAGAGTAAGGCCTTCGGTCTTTGTACAGTGCCAACACCTACCATTTGAGTAACAGCTCTTAAGTGGCATGTCTGGGCTCTTGTATCCTTTTTCTTATCCAGAAATGCTTATTCAAAATCCAGCCTACGTTTCAGCTGTTTCCAAGCAGAGTCTGGGGTAGAGGAAAGGTGATAAGGTAGTAAGTGGTTTGAGAAACAGAATTTTAACGTGGAGCTTAATGAAAAGCCATTGAGGTCAAACTTTATGCCCCCTCCTATCCTGAGGAAGAAGCCTGCTGCAAGGGTTATTATTACACAAATATGTTGAGAAAGCCCTGTCTTTCGGAAAAGTGGAACTAAAATGGTATGCAACTCTCTAAAATAACTAGGATTTTTTTAAAGGAAATACAAAACTCTAGAACTCTTGGTCAGAGATTATACCTTTTTTTAGACCAACTAAGAAATCTCAAAAAAATATCTTTTTCTGCAAACTTTCAGGTGCACATGTCCTTCCTCAGGTTCAGGGAAAATTTATAGATGGCAAAAAGTCTGCATAGGTAGAAAATAAACTTCATTTTTGTGCAGAGGAAGCCAAAGGTGGAAGTCTGTTCCTCTGGGTCCATCTGGAACAGACTTCCACCTTCAGCTTCCTCTGTACAAAAATGAAGTTTATTTTCTACCTGTGTGGACTTTTTACCATCTTTATTTTTTCCTGAGCCTGAGGCGTGTGTGCCCAAAAGCTTTCAGGAAAAGATATATATTTTTTGAGATTTCTTAGTTTAATAAAAGGTATCATCTCTAGACCAGGAGCTCTAGAGTTTTGCATTTCTTTTGGTCTCAGACCAACATGGCTACCAAATACATCCCTGAAACAGGATTTTTTAAAGTTTTATGAGAAATTGTCCCTGCGAATTGCAGCAATTCTCCCTGGTCTGGGAAGGGAAGGACAAAATGAATAATTTAGACTATTCTATAGGTTTTCATTTCTTAAAGAAACTGGAGAGAACACGTATTTTCTAAATTCAGAAACAAAAAGTTGGAAATGGATAGTTGGTTCTGTTTTACCCTTCTCTCTCTATTTGGTTCTTTTTTGAGCTGTGGAAAGCTGCACATGGTTAAAGAGCTCATGCTCAACAAGGTTTTGCATTGTCAACTTCATTACCAGGAGTTTAACCAGAGGCAGTATAATACAGCCCACCCTAGGGGAATGGGCTTTGTGCATGTGCAATTCCAACTCATCCAATTTTTTCCCCAGACATCTATTTTGTATTCCTCAACAGGAGAGCGAATTCTCTCCATGCAGTAGAATAACTAGTACAACTTGTAATTTTCCTGATGTTTTGTGAGAGACCCCTTTCTTTCTCTCTCTCTCTCTCACTCTCATTTTGAAAAAGAAAAACACAGCACTAAAAGCGTCATGTAACATTCTTATGCCTGGCAGAAGCAGGGCAGGGTGACACCTTAGAGGCCAGTTGGGTCAGAGAGGCACAAGCGTTTACAGGTGACAGTTGACTTCATCAGATGGCATTCAGAGGTGCTACCCTGCCCTGCCTGCTTCCTGACTTCACACAAGTGCAGCTGACTACCTCTCTCTTCTTCTACCTGTGGGGTTGCTTGCTCTAGTAGAAGATTTTAAAAAACACAAAAAAAAAAGATTGTTCCAGTCTTCTAACATCTTCAAATACAGCTTGATACAACATTTAAATGGTCATGTAGTGGCTTTTTGTTTTGAATTGTTCTGGCTAGTGAATTTAAGGCCTCTTGAATCCTCCTTTAAACAAAACAACCAAAGTAAGAATGCCTGAGTGCCTTAATCCTAAGCACAGAATAGGGAGAACAGAGCCTGTTTTGTATGACCGTATATGTCCTGTTTTTTGTTTTTGTTTTTTACAGTTAATATGCAAAGTGTCTACTTTGAGAGCACTGTGTGGACGGCATACAGAAAAGCTTATGGCATTTAAAGCAATATACCCAGACATTGTGCGACTTCATTTTCCTCCATTGTACAAGGAGTTGTTCACTTCAGAATTTGAGCCAGCGATGCAACTTGATGGGTAAATGTTGTCACCTAAGCACTTCTAGAATGTCTGAAGTACAAACATTACAAAAAAAAAAAAAAAAGAAAAGGAAAAGGAAAAAAAATAAAGAAAACCAAGACACTTTATATGGCCCTGCACAGACCTAGGGAGCCAACACACTGCACATCTTTTGGCAGTCGGGGTCAGGCGAAGGATGGGAAACAATGAAACAAAGTTGAACTTGTTTTTCTCATGCATATGATTTCCATTATGCCTACAAATATGGACCCTTTTTCTGTCTCAACTTCTTGATCTTTGACCTCTGTTTACACAGAATGAGGGTACTAAAGTCAGAAGGTTGCTTTTTTCTAGTTGTTCACTGCCCACAGACTTAACAGAACAATCAGTTTGTTGATCAGAACATTGAGTCCAGCTAGTAACCAGTGACTGGTGTGCACTGCAGAGGTTTCCGCATCAGTTTGCACAACTTGTTCATTGTTTCATGAAGGACAATTTATTCACCTACCATTGATTGCCAGTAGGCAGATGGCAAGAAAAGGGTCCATAGCAATAGCAACAATAGCATTATAATATATTACAGGGTAAATGGGCATGAAGACTATATATAGCAAAAGAGATATTGTTTATATATTGTTTTAATTAATATAAAATGTAGTTACTGGTATAGCTTTTCTTGTTGAATTGATAAGGCACTTTCATTTTGCACCTTTTTCTTTAAATTAAATGCTAGTGTGTTCATTGTTGTGTTGCATGTGCACCAGAAATTCAAGTTTAACAGAGAGGTTTGGATGGTACTGGTACAATGGGAGGTATTTATGCTGCTGTTTTCAGTGTTACTATTAGAGAGGCTGGTCATATCCTGAAATGATTACAAATTTGTAGTTTGAAAACAATGACATTTTAAAGTCAGAATTTGTTTCTATGCTGGTTTTAAAAAGCTGCTCTTATTTTTATACAGAATGCAAATTTTTCAAACCTGGATGTATAAAATTGAAAGTCTAAATCCATATTTGGACACCCAAATAAACAGCCTAATTTTCAAGGGCACTGAGTACCCAAAGGCAAAGATTTTGCTCAGCGTTCACAAATCAATCACAGCTGCAAGTGTATAGCTGTCTTGAAAATCAGGCTATTAAATAAGGTGTATAAATAGGGATATAGATGCCTGACTCTATGAACCCAGGTTTGAAGATATTGAACCAAGGTTATACAGTAAAAGTATAATGTAATACATACATATGTATAAAACAGTGCGTGTGCATGTTACACAGCTACATACTTTTATGGAAAACAATGCACTCCATATGGTAAACAATGCACTTAAAGCAAAAACCTCAGTGTGTTGAAGTCTGTGGGAGTTTTGCTGTTGACTTCAGTAAGATATGGTAATGGCCCTATTTTCCAAAAATCAGTTCTGCCCAACACAGAGTAATCCTTTGCTTTAGAGCAGATTTGTATGGCTCCAGAAATAATTAGATGTATTTGGAAACACTCACTTTAAGACTTACAAAATGAGTAAGTACACACTGATGAATTAAAGGTGCACGCCAGGTGTTAAAACCTGCCATGTATTTAATATTGTATATGAAGTCTGGAAACTAGGAGTGGGCTAGAGCCAATCTTTTCCAGCCCAAGGAGTGGGCTAGAGCCCAATCTTTTCCAGCCCAAGGCACACTTAGATTAATAAAAATTTTCCATGGCACACCTGTTAAGGCATTCCTCATACCTATTGTAGCTCATTGCCATGGCAAAATTCCATGGTAGACCTGTTCATTTCTGATGGCACACATTTGTGCCGTGGCACACTAGTTGGGAAACACTGGGCTAGAGAATGTGCAGGAACCAAATTTTGCAGTCTTTACTTTTGCAAACTACTGTGTCTTCTAGTGTTCCTGAGTAAGGAGAGCAGAATTTGGCTGAAAGGGGTGGGAAGTCAGGGATATACTCTCCACTTCTGCCGCAAAGGCAAGAGGTCCCCTGTATTCAGGCTTCATCCACTTAAATCCTGTTACATTGGACTGCTTAGCACTAAGTGGCAGCACTATGATCGTTACCTGTGTAGATTAACTACAGAAATCGGACTTCCTGCCCTCTCTAACATGCTGATGCAAGGACAGCAGAAAATTTAGATATTAAATTGATCCCTATCTGTCCTGGTGGCCAGAGAATGAGTTCAGTACTGGAAGGGCCAGAGAGCACAAGGAAATACGTAACAGCTGTGCAGGTTTCAGTGGAAGGATGGACCAGCTTTGGAAATAGAAGTTTTCTTGAAGGAGGGAGATGCTCCCTAGATTGGGTATGAAGAAAACCCTCCTCAACCTTAGTTGGAAGAGTAGGTTTAAAATGTCAGTCTTACCCTCCCGGCTCAGCACTGAAGCAGAATGCCGATCCAGTGATTCTTCTTTAGCCAGCTCAGACCCCATCAGGTAGAAGAAAGCCTATCTTTGCCATGGTCTTGTCCTATGATACAGTTGGGTTCAGTGGCATCTGAGCTACTTCTGATGTGACAGTCTTAAGCAGCTGTAGCTTACCTGAAAGGGCATTTAACAGTTACAGAAAAATTGGAACTACCTCCTTTAAACTGGAAGCAACTGGGGAACTGAGCTAGGATGAGAGCAATGTGAAGCACTGTCCCTAAAAAACAAGGTAGTTACTGAACAGGTATATATTGTTCAATGATATTGCCTGCAAGTCACAACTGCATTGGGCCAAATCATGCCAGGCACTGTGTGTAAGAGTTTTTAAAATGAGTCTATACCTCAGATTTCTTGAGGTAGCTACACACTCGAAATATGTTTGTTTTCCAGGGTTGGTGTGTGTAAGATTATGTAGTAGTCATGTTGTGGTTCTCATACTAAGGCAGTCCCTGTTTCTTCAGTTATGATCAAGTTTTTTGTTTATTTTTCTTTTTGGGTTGTTTGTTGTTTTGGTTGGGGGTGGGATTTTGAGAAAGGAGATAGAGAAATTTAAGGAGAACTTTTTGGTATATGATTAGTCCTTGGTACATAATCTCCCAAGTAAAACCTACCTAACCCTCGCCTTTAAAATAGAAGTGGCAGTCATGGTATATTTACTTTGTGAAACAGTAACTGAGAATTAATTCAACAATTTATCTTAAAGGGACACTGCCAACTTAAATGTTTTAAAAAATCCATTTTTTTTTTAGAAGGTACCTTTTAAAAAATATATATTTCCAGATTTTTAATTAAATATGTGAGAATGAATGAAGGGTTTTTTCTTTTGTTTTTGGTTTGGGTTTTGTTCTCATTGATCTCTAGAATGGCCTTTAGGCAACAGGAAAAACAGGAGAATACAAGGAAAACACTGAATTTTTCTGTGCACAAAATGCTGTCACATGCAAAAAAGTAAACAAACTATTAATATTTTTTGCTGTCTTACTTCATTTGCAGTCCTGGTAGTTGTTATAAGTCCCTATTAGAAAACAGAAGAAAAGATATTTGTGATTTTCAAGTTGATGGTGTATCTTTCTTTTTAACAGATGGAACTAACTTCCCCCTATAGGTACTGTAGTGATTGAGGTGCAGCTAGGTGGAGACGGAGCAGCACTTTAGTATATAACTGTTGTAAGAGGGGAATTAGAGCCATAGATTATTTATAGGCAAGATTGTTTCCTTTTGTGATTTGAGCAGGTCAATGGCCTATGATCCAAGGTTACATTTCTGTAGCGCTGCCACAGTAGTTTGGAAGCTGTCTGAGGGATGGTGCCTCAGGTGGTGCATTCTGCATAGTGTTTTGTTAGTTGAGGGAGATAGGATGGTATCTTCAGCTCTTTCATGGCAACGTGGATGTTTAGGAAGGGAATTGTCCCTGCACATGCCTGAATACAGGAGCTGTGGTTGTGAGTGGCTTTATCAAAGAGTATGGAGGAGGCCATGTACACCCTTCATTCCGTCCTGCATGCCCCACATGGGCCACTCACAATCTAGGTCTCAGTCTCACCATCTTATCAGTTTGCTTTTTCAGGAATCATTGTTTGCTTTATTGGAGTAACTGGCATGATATAGCAGCTCTGTTCTAATCTAGGAGTTTGTTTTTATGATTAAAACCAAGCTTTCTACTAACAAAAGTTTTGTACTAACAAAAGTTTTCTGAATGTGACCAGCCTCAGGTGCTAGCCTATTAAAGATCAACTAAACTTAATTTCAGTGTCAACTAATGGATAGTGGTGTCAGACTGGACCTTCTCTAGAGAGAGAGAGAGACAGATTCTGATTTTTGACAGTAAGTAGCGGGTACCCATGTTAAGTATTTTGGAACTGATCTTTAATCATGTCCTTCTCCTCACCTGATCTCTAGATTCAAAACAAAGATGATTGGCATTTAGGTTTTAGTATTTGCATCCACAAATCATTGGGAATATAAAATATATGAGTAATTTTACTTGTGCCCATACAACTGAAATTAAGAAGCCTCACTAAATGTCAAATTCTTCATATCTAAAATGAATTGTGGCACAATGTTTAAAGGTGTTAAGCTTCTTTTCTCTTCATTGGAGCTATTGAGTGTTCGGCATCTTGCAAAATCAGGCCATTTAGCATCTTCTCCAACCTAAGTGTGTGTTCCTAATCACAATAAGTAGTCACTTGGAGATGCACCAAATAAAAACAAGTATAGCAAAGTGGTAGGTATTCTTAAAAGTATTGTTGCCAAGAGACTTTTAATGAGATGTGGAATATTCTAGGTGCAGTTAGTCACAATTAAGTCTAAATGACATATACCCTGTTAAGACTAGGACCCAAGATCAAAATTCAACAAATGATTCAGTGGCAGGACACATTTGGGCTCTGTCAAGTGAATGACAGATGTATTAAACTTTCATAGTCTGCTCCATTTAGAAAAAAAATTGAAACTACAGAAGATTCAGGAATAATTATTCCTTTTAAATTAGCTGTTCATAATAAAATGGTTGTTTTGGGCTTTTGGCATTTGAACTTTCTTTAGCTGTTTTATAGAAGAGGTACCAGAACGGTGTCATTTTGATTACCATTATAAACATTCATATCTCTGACACTGTTCACCTTTTTAATAACTATGGGGTTAGATGATGGAGAAAACTGTCTTTTAAGTTTGGTTGTTCTTTATA